AGAGGAGCTCATATGGACCTAGAAAATTATTTAAAATCTTCGTTACTTCAATCCTTTAAGATGTATGAGAACAGTACTTAGTACATATTTTGATGTAACACATTGTAAATATATTTATTAAAAATTATTATTTTTTAATTTCAAATTAAAGATAAATAAATTTAAAAATACAATCATATCGTAAAATGTAAGAAAATCGATTGAATCGACTGTATTTATATTATATTTTTAATGATTAAATAAAAAATATATTAAAAATATGTTAAACCGAGAGCATATAAATCATTTTCTATGTTTGCATTTATGCCCAGAAATGTGTCTTTAGACTTCAAATTACAAAAGACAAAATACCAACACGAGGAGAAAAAAACATATAATCCATTGGATACAAACTACAATGCCCAAAACCCCAAATTCGCCCTTCAAGTATAGGACAGAGTTAGATTCACCCTCAAATTAAATATAGGAACAAATCACTATCTTGACTGATTAGACTAGACAAATTATTTTAAATTTAATTACTAGTATCATATGACATCAATTTGCTATTACTACCAACACAGATAAAAGGGCTATGTAAGTAAAAAAGTAAAGGAAAATTGATGCCATACGATGGTAATAATTAAATTTTGATTTATTTGTTTTATCAAATTAATTAGTGAAGCATTTTATCTTTGTATTTAATTTGATGGTGAACCTGTCCCTTCCCCATACTTAAAAGGCAGATTTAGAGGTTTGGCAAAACTCTAACAACATATTGTTGACAAATTTAAATGAAACTAAGACCTCGTACCTTACTAGTGTAAATCGTAACCCAAAACCTAATAACTTAATTTTAAGTGTGATCTTAAAAATTGAACCTGCCCTTGTTGCCTAATGGTTCATGACCCAATATCGTTGACGAATTTAACTCGAACCACGGAATCAGGCCTTGTAGCTTATTGTGGTTACATTTGTTGTGTTGCTGCAACATATCCCTTTTATTAGGATTGAGAGAGTTATGCACGCAAAACATGGCGATAATAATCTCCAAGTGCCCATATGGGAAATATGTTCCGGTAGGCTGAGTAGTTCAGTAAACCAGTTCTAAAAAATGCTCCAGTAATTTCCTGTTTAATATTCCATTAGAAAAGGAAGATCAGAAAAAAGTGTCAAGGTTTTAAATGTCAAGGGGAAAGGATGACTTTAATGCTTTTTCATGGATTACCTGTTGAGGGAAGTCACCATCTTCCATTTGTGAATTTATCAGGACTTTTATTCCGCGATGAATGGGGCCAGCATCTACTTCAGCCTGGTCATTAGCCATCCCATTTAATATCTTCAATTCAGATGTCAAATTCAAAGAACAAGCTAGTCGATATTTTGATAAGTCAATTTACACAAAATTCGATTATTTGACTAGGTTTTTTTTTTTTTTTTTTTTGATTTAGCAGTTAGGTGTCTTAGTAGACTAGATCTTTGTTTATGTAATATGATGGCTGGAACCAATTTTCTTATCAA